GACAGTGTTTGGCATGAAGGTTTGATTGCTAAATTGAAAAAGTTTAATTTTCCACTTTACATTATGAAATTAGTTCAAAATTATTTAACTGACAGAACTCTGCAGATAAATTATCAAAATTCCAAATCTAATCGACTACCTGTTAGAGCAGGAGTTCCTCAGGGTAGCATTCTTGGGCCTATATTGTATAACATTTTCACTTCGGACCTCCCTGATTTGCCTCAGGGTTGCCACAAATCTTTGTTCGCTGATGACACAGGCATTTCCGCTAAAGGAAGAAGTCTTCGTGTTATTTGCAGCAGACTTCAGAAAAGTTTAGATATTTTCTCTTCTTATTTACAAAAATGGAAGATTTCTTCCAACGCTTCCAAAACTCAACTTATAATATTTCCACATAAGCCCAGGGCTTCCTTTTTGAAACCTAGTAGTAGTCACATAGTCACTATGAACGGAGCTCCAATTTCCTGGTCAAACCAAGTGAAATATCTTGGATTAATACTTGACCATAAATTAACTTTTAAAGATCACATTGAGGGCATTCAAGCCAAATGTAACAAATATATAAAATGTTTGTATCCTCTTATACACAGGAAATCCAAACTTTGCCTGACGAATAACCTGTGCCAATATGGTCTAGTTGTTGCACTACCACTACTTGCCAATATGGTCTAGTTGTTGCACTACCAGGAAAAAAGCACTTCAAAGGATTCAGAACAAAATTCTGAAGATGATTTTGAAGTTGCCTCCCTGGTACAGTACTACCGAAGTACATAGAATTTCGAATGTTGAGCACAAATGTCCAACAAAATAATTAATAATTTCCGGCAAAAATCGTTACAATCCTCAATTGCAACGATTAATTCCCTTTATACTTAGATAAGATTTAGTTTTAGTTATTTAGTTTTAAGCTATCAATTGTTATACTGACATGCAGGTTTAAAAAACCTGTTTAAAATACTGAATTGCCAAGACAGGAACAATGTAAAAACACTTAGATATATATCATAACAATTAAGGCTGGTAAGTTACCGTAGTATCTGGAGCACCTAGGTTAAAAATGAAATGTAATTTATTTTGAATTTGGAACAAATAAAGAGTTAAAAATAAATTAAAAAAAAAAGAGATAACGACGCAGTCACCAACGAGCAACTCGTGGCAGTGCCTGCTGGATACACCCGGAAAACTCTTAGAGAGGATCATCCTAAACAGGCTGACGAAATGCACGGAGAGTTAGCAAGGATTGTCGGAGAGGCAGTTCGGATTTCGAAAAAGAAAAGCAAAAGTGGAAGCAATTCGGACAGATTTTGAGAGAGTCGAGAAGGCATCGAAACAGAAGTGGAGAGGAAATCGATATTACGCTGTGATAACGATCGACGGCAAGAATGTGTTCAACAGCTCCAGCTGGGAGGCCGACGCTACTGCCAGAACCGGGTTTTGATATACGAGCCAAATATGGGACAGAGATCGATTAGGATCACGGTGGGAATCCCACAAGGGTCCACCCTTGGTTCAACGCTCTAGAACGTGATTTAAAACGGCGGTCTAACGCTGAAGCCACCCAAACGAGCTGAGATCGTTGGGTTGACGTCGTCTTACGGTAAGGCAAGATGCTGGAATAGATGGAAATGTTGGCGACCGAGGCGGTCGACATGATTGGAAACCTTATGCATGAAACGAAGCTGCAAATAGCTCACAACAAAAGCGAGGTGGTATTGATCAGTAACTTTAAAGCGCTGCAGCGATCAGAAATTGCCGTTGGGGAGCACGCAATAAACTAGAAGTGCGTGTTGAAATGTCTGGGAGTGGCTTCAATACCCACCTAGAATACGCCTACGAGAAGGCAGCGAAGGCCATCATACCGAACATCTCAGGATGGCTCCTGGCCAGGCATGGAAAATCATCTGCATTCTTTTCATACATTCCTTTACATTCATTTACCTCTAACTTTTTTCATCAACAGCATTCGGCAAAACAATGTAAAGAACTTTTGTAGGTTTTGTAATTAGCTACAACTTTTGCTCATAACTCAAATCTGTATCTCTTATGCATCACAAACTAGAGCGGGCTGAACATGTTACTGTTTTTCAGTGAATGTAAAATACATTCACTGAAAAACAATAGTGACTTCTGTTCACTCTGGTTCGTCATGCATAAGAGATACGAATTTGACTAGTTGACAAAAGTTGTAGCTAATATCACAACCAACAAAAGCTCTCTACATTACCTTGCAGAATGCTGTTGAAGAAAAAAGTTAGACGCAAATGAATGTAAATGAATGCACGAAATGAATGCAAATGATTTTCCATGCCTGCTCCTGGCTAGTGTTGATACTGAGACATGGAGGTTCAGCCTTGGTTGCAGTGCTGAAAACCAAGCGGAATTTAGGAAAACCGTACAGTACGTACCGGCTCAACAAACCGTACGCTAACTTTTCGAGGCATTTGGTGTACCCTTTGCTATAAGAATATTAAACATTTATCAGTAATTCCATTAATAGTGGATAAATAATGGTTAAACTTAGTTTCAAAATCATTTTGATGGTTAAAATATTCAAAGAGAAGATTTCCCGATTTTGTCAGCCTAAAATTTCAGATGGGGTTGACAAAAACGGGAAAGTACTGTAGTCCATTAAAATTATTTGGAAATTTGTATGAACTGGAAACACACGGGGTACTCCATAAGGAGGAGTACATGGGTCAAAATTAAGTCCTCCCGTTTTTGAATACATTTCCAAGACATTTTTAATGGATTTATCATTCAGAGGTAAAAAATATATTCTAAACGCCAAAAAAACATTTTTCCCCAGTGAACATTTAACCCCAGAAGCCTTTACATTGCCTGGTGGTCCACTGGGTTTGTTTCTATAATGGGTGGGTCGTTTTTTGGAAGCGATCCTGGCCAAGATAACGTATTCCGTGCTGAAGGCATACCATCATGCACCGGCGAGAAACCGTGAAGCTTATGATAAAGTGCAGTTAAAAGAAGAGTTTCAAAGAGTTGGGGGCACTACCCAGTCACTTTTGACGTAAGATAACGTCTTTCATCAACATATTGGGGATGCAATTTCAAAAAACCAAAATCGACCGCGTTACGAAAAGCTGTCAGGTTTTGACCACTTATAACTCTGTCAATAGCGGATGGATTTTAATTCTAAACAAGCCAATCGATTGGAAATTTTTCTACAAATCTGCTTTAATAAACAATTTATCAATTTTCAATAGGTCACTATTGAAAATTACACAAATGTCCAACTGTTGCAATGGTGAGCAAAATTATAATCGATTGCCAACAAAAAGCGCTTTCCCTAACACAGATTTCAAAATAGAATTCCATCTGGTGTTGCCAAATGGTGCTTATTCAATCACCGTGTGTGGTGGTGTCCGGTGGTGGTATCCGGTCGGTCGGTCGAATAACTCGCGAATGGAAACTTTAGCAAGAAATTCCTCCAATTAATTTCTACTTTCTTGATTATCTATTGAATAAACCAAAAATTCCGTGCTTTTTTGGGCGTTTGGTTTCCATGATGGGAAGAGTGGTTTTTCTAACACAGTCGTCGAGTGTTGGATACCGAGCACGTAATCGTAATGTCTTGGATACAACCTTTACTTTTATTGATGGAGTATTTTTTTTTCGAACAACTGAGCTCAAATAGTATAATGTACCACAACTCTGTTTAATTTATCGAATTGCAATTCCATGTTGTAAAAATTACTTGTGATGTTTAAAACATCTTTAATTCATCCAATGAATGATCAACAAACCTTCTTTTTTCTGTTGATTTGTTTTCCGTCGATCTTGTTTTCCGTGCTGAGAACCAATGCTACCGACGCCAGGGAGACAGCTTCCACACCTCGACCCTACCTATTGACCCATCAACTCATGAACCGGGGACCAACGGCTTTACTTCCCATCCGAAGGAAGGCGTGATCAGAGTTGTTATACCTCAGAACATCCCGGTGGCGCTGAATAGGATTGAACCCAGGCCTGCTGGGGTGAGAGGTAATCACGCTTACCACTACATAACCGGCGCCACTGATCAACAAACCTTAACAACACGATATTCTATCCCAAGGGAAACAAACATTATTCGAAGATTTAACCAAATCAAATTAAAAATATATATAAAACATATGACTATCACTATGACACAAACAGTAAAAAATAACACCACAACAAATACCTCACAGAAAGATTCCCATGTTCCGCTGAATTACCAATCAATCGCTCCAAGTCGTACACCAGAAAAAATAAATCATTTATCACTCGTTCCAACTCTACTCCACAAATCCATTAAACCAGAATCTGCTCTTCCCAGATGGTCTGCTGGCCTGTCGCATGCTATCGAGCTTATCTTTCTTCAGCCGGTATTTCCGATTGACCGTTCACATGTGTCAAAACCGTATACACAGCCGTATAATAGAGTTGTCAATCGACGAGTGACACTGATGCGATATTCGTGAGGACCGGATTAAACATCGTCAATCGAGCGACTGCAACGGGCGGCGCGGCGCAGCAGTAAGCATGATTCACGAACCAATGAATCGTCGGCTTAGCGTCTCCGATCATGCCTTTCGCGTTTCCATCCAGCATCGATCAATAGGGAAGAGACGGGAACTGCTTTTGTTAGGAGCATCGGAAAAAGCGCTTAATTTATCACGAGATTAACTCTTCTCTAGGAAGATCATCCGTTGCAATTTATGTGCATCACACAACGATGTCAACCGATTTATTTTATTGACAGATAAAACAACGCTTCTCAGTTTTCCACTTTATTGGCTCAGCCTATTCAGAAACCGCAACCAGCAGGCGCCTCTCGATGAATCGGTGCTAATTTACACCGACAGTTGACAAACCGCCTTGCAGGGCGGAAAAAGAAAAAAGCAAACATTCTACCCTCCATCATCCATCGTTTCACAGTCAATATCCATTCGCTATTTGTTCCGCAGAGAATTGGCTGGTCGTACACTTATAATGAGCTCTTTTCTTCTTTGTGTCCACAGGTTTATTTACACACCACCTGGAGAATGCACAGCTGATTGTACCCCGAAAGGTAAACCACCGAGGAGAGCTAATCTCACACCGGTTAACACATCATCATCATCATCAACAACATCATAATGGGCAACATGGGCGAAGAGAAACAGAGTTCTCGCATGACGATGACGACGTGCAAAGTGATCACCTCCAACGGATACGACGCAGCAGCAGTAGTCCGGTGAACGACGGAGGAGATGGGAAATTGCACTATCACATCGATTTGGACGATCAGACGTTGCACTTGGAACTGGAGTGAGTATCAGATGGATAACGGTGGAATACCGCAATGTTTTTATAGATTTTCTTATTGTATTTTGCATCTAAAACTGGGCTTTGCAAAATTGCGGAGTCGTCAATAAAAGTTCGTTTTTAGGTTGTATCGTCTTGGTGTCCTCAGTGCACTTATTCCCTATTAACCAAGCAATAAGTGCACGGAAGACACCAAAATGATTGAACGTAAAAGCGCACTTTTTTATGCGTTTCAGAAATTTTCGTTGCACTTATAATGTGCGTAATGCGCTTCATAATTGCTTGGGGTATAAAGCATCTTAAATTAAAGTTTTACAAATCAGAGCTATAAACATTTGAAAACTTAAATTTAATTAATCCATGTATCCAAGCGCGTTGCTTTTCCGTTAAATTAACCCATACGTGTTTATATAGTAGAAGAAGGTTAGTGACGGGCACACGAACGGTTATACACTCTTTTAAACACTTTCTAATGGAAGTTTTAATAGAAGGTTTTAAAACAATCTTCTGAAATAAGCTTCTATTAAAAAAAAATAGTATAAGCTCCTACGATAAGCTTCTCAAATATTTTTTCTAAAGAAGCAATTAGCTGGGCATCGTCACAAAAATTAAAAATTGTAAATTAGAACACATCAATTAAACTGATTTAAAAATGGGGGACGGCCCCGGCGTAGTGGTTAACATCCATACCCCAGGTTGCAAATACTCGTTTCAGCTAAAACAATGTTTTTTCTTTATATTATGAAATAATTAGATGCCATGATCATATTTTGAATTGGTAGGATGCAAGAAGAGGTTGCAAAGAATGTGTTTGACATATTAAACCTGTATATTTCCCTTCATGAGAGTGACAATCAGCGATTTTTCACACACTCACTCACTCACTCAGCGATCAGCAAATCGCTGATTGTGACTCATAGAACGCAAAATTTACAGGTTTTATGTTTCAAACGCATACTTTGTAACCTCTTCTTGTAAGTTACAATTAAAACATGCCGTCATGCCATCTTTTGGTATTATTATTCCGAAAAACATTATTTTAGCTGAAATGAGTATTTGCAACCTTGTCCATACCTATCACGCCAAAGTCACGAGTGCAAATCTCATCCCCGGACAAATGACGATTTCCTTACGAGTGTCAAAGTAACTATAATAAAAAAAAACAAGGCTTGTGCTCCAAGCACGACCACATTGTTGACGTAGGACTAAGAGATTGTTTTTGACATAGAACTACGTCTTTGCCGACTACACTGGGGTGCAAATCAAAAAATATGTGTGGAGAAACAGTGTTAGGTTTTGAACGTTTGTAACTTTGTCGTTCATAGATTAATTAAACATCCAAATACGCCAATCGATAGGATATTACATTACAAATTTGATGAAATAAGTATTTTTTTTTTCAATTTCCATTTTTTTTTTTATGTACAAATGATAATTTTATCTCTGTTTTCATGAAATAAACGTTTTTCTCAAACCCAGATTATGACAATCGAGTACAACTTTGTTGCACATCGTTCAGCTTGAACCTGAAAAGATATAAAACAACACTGCTGTCGTGCCTCTGCTCATTATTGCTTCTTACGGCGAGGCATTGATTGGGTCCTGCAGTAAGCAGGAGCAAATCAGCGGTTAAAGTGGATCACGGTGTGATCACCTTGACAACCAGCGATGGGGTGGAAGGAGAATTGGGTCCCGTTCAACCAAGGGGCTGTTCATTAACTACGAAGGCAGATTATAGGGGGGGGGGGTTGGTAATTATCCACGACCCATACAAATTAAATAAAAAAATGTATGAACAATTGTCTACGCCGGGTTAGGAAGGGGAGAGTGCAAGAATTCAAAAAGAAATTAACGTAGCTAATGAATGCAATATGCAACGCAGAAAAGTTATTTATGCAAACACCCCCCCCCCCCCTCCTTGATTGCTTGGGTGATTACGAACCCACGTTTAAATAAAATCCTATTTTGAGAACATTGTTCATTCTTTAGCATTAGGCTAGAGCACTACTTCGTCGTAATCGCCTATTTCCGTTCTATGGATCAGAAAAGATCAAAAATATCAATGATTTCACCGTGCACAAATCAATAATAGGTTTGTTCCGATGCGTTAGTTCATTAGCTACAACATAAATCCTAGTGGCGCCGGTGGTGTAGTGGTATGCGTGATAACCTCTCACCCCAGCAGGCCTGGGTTCAATCCCAGTCGGCGCCGTCGGGATTTTTTAGGCATAACATCTCTGATCACGGGAAGGGAAGTAAAACCGTTGGTCCCCGGTTCATGAGTTGATGGGTCGATAGGTAGGGTCCAGGTGTGGGAGCTGCCTCCCTGGCGTCGGTAGCATTGGTGCTCAGCACGGAAAACAAGATCGACGGAAAACAAATCAAGAAAAAAAACATAAATCCTGTTAGAGCGTATTGTATGAATATTTACGCTCATTGTTCTCAAAACAAAAGAAGCGCTTCTAGCGAATCACCTTTTCTCCGTTTATCCGTAGGATGAAGAAAATCTAATAGCGTTTCAATGCGTTAGGACAGAATTGAAACTAGTAGGACGAATCTAGAATCAAGAAGCAGTATTAGATTTTATACAATATCTCAACAATGTGTGACTCTTTATCAAATCCAACGGTACGTATGGAAAGATGAATGAGTTTAGAAGTCATCGTTGACAGACATATTCCATTTTTAATTTAAAAAGCCGTTCAGAAAAGAGAGGTAAAGCGCGGGTTGTGCTAAGTAGGACGAAAATTAGATCAAAACCCCATTAGAAACTAGAAAGTTAGACTTTTTCACCAAGCACACATTTTTCATGTCCATATGTTATATTCATATAAAAAACACATTTAGGCGAAGTGCGAAAATTACATGAATAGGTCCATCCAAAATCCATTACCCTACACCGGAGCAAGTTGAAACGCGTAGGGAAGTTGAAACGGTAGATGTATCGCTTAGCGGAAGAGATTAATCTCTGAGATTATTTCTTATATAGGAGTTTGCGGTAGTACATGACTCTCACAAATAATTACAGTGCACGTACCGTTTCAGTTTACGTACCTTAACTATGATGCTTACTATCAAAACATTGAACAGGTGGAAAACCTGTATACGAGCTTTTGCTCTGACTTTGAAATTCAATAGCTGAATCCCACTAATTATCAATTAATGTTGTACTAAGCACCTATTTATTGGAAACCAAACGTTTGATTTGAGAAAAGTCACAGTATTCTATTTTGCATCATTCTACTGAAGTACATAATGATGATTCATGATAATTTTATATTACACTGAGGCGACAAGAACGTAAGAAGAACCACTTATGAATTCTAGCCACAAGAAATCGGTATGAATATCATTGATTTGTCTTATGAAAAATAATGTCAACAAAAAATAATAAACGGGGCTCGTATGTAGACCACTCGTCTTTAAATACTTGGGAAAATGAAATGGTTAAAGGTATATAAGAGCTACCTCATGTCAGACGAAAATCATTCATAAGTCACGCTTATAAAATCCATGTATGTCGTCCATAAGCCAAGCCTCATGAAATTCTTAAGTTCATTTGCCTCAGTGTAGGGATGTCCTACAAATTGGAGAACAAAGAGGTGCTTAAACCCGTATGATCGTTATACCCCTTCCTCCCCTACTTCACTGACATATGAACCAACATATTGTTCAATATTGAAAGTACCGTCTTCTGGTAGGGAAAACAACTGCTGGAGCTACTTAAATCCCTCCCCTTGGCTAATGTTTGCACCTTGTTGCTGGTGTTCGGACTTAATTTCATGCTTTATAATGGAGAGTTGGAGACGGTAGGTTTATGGCCGGCGTTGCTGGCTCATGCCTCGATAGAATGGCGCCATGGGAAGGCGATGGGGATTACTAAGCTTCCCCTCTATGATGAACCACTGCATGAGAAAACCAAAGGTCTAGTCTAGCAGTGATAGTATCACACTTGTTACTCCTTTGTTGGAGAAAAGCGTCGTAGTACGCTTACGTATAGGCACTGACGTTGGGTGCGATACTGGCGGGTTTTGCCGCAAATCACTCTTATTTTTTACGCAGATAGATTAATTTGGGTTAGCAAGGGAATTATACTATTGAAATATTTCAGAAAGATCCCAACAGTGCTACTTCTACTTGCGTGACAAGCTTTCATTTTTGTTTTCATTGACGTATTACTCAGGGAACAATGTTGAACACCATTTTTGTACATGGTATTGTAACTAATCTTATATGTGCTTCATTTTGATGTGGGATAAGTGTTTGAACTATGGCTCGGGATTTCCACTGTGGCGTGCTTCTATTGTGACATACTCATATGTATTTTTGTGGTGCGACATAGTGGAAGCGTGTGAGCATAAAGGGTTATACGGTCAAAATTTGGTCAATATCAACTTGACGTATTTCTTTCAATTTTGCATTTAAAAAACCTGAACACCCCTCATTTTGAAGGTGTGTGTGTGTGTAGAATGTTGCTCCTATTTTGATTTTGGAATTCACTCTTCAGTTGTCAAAATGCCGTCCAAGCAAGAAGAGCAGCGTATCAAAATTTTGCTCGCGCATCGCGAAAATCCGAGCTACTCGCACGCAAAGTTGGCAAAATCGCTAAAAGTTGCCAAATCAACCGTTACAAATGTAATTAAAGTGTTTGGGGAACGTTTGTCGACAGCCAGGAAGTCTGGATCGGGGGGAAATCGAAAACCGGAAGCCGCTGAGACGACAAAGAGAGTTGCCGGTAGTTTCAAGCGAAACCCTAACCTCTCTCTCCGAGATGCCGCAAATAAGCTGGGTGTATCGTCTACAACCGTGCATCGAGCCAAAAAACGAGCCGGACTATCGACTTACAAGAAGGTAGTGACTCCAAATCGCGATGATAAACAAAATACGACGGCCAAAGCGCGATCCCGGAGGCTGTACACGACGATGCTGACGAAGTTTGACTGCGTGGTAATGAACGACGAAACCTACGTCAAAGCCGACTACAAGCAGCTTCCGGGACAGGA